TCCACACCTGGAAGGGGATTTTGTTGCCTTCCAGGAACTGTCGCCAAGTGAGTAATGCCCAACGTATCCCATAAGCCTCCTTCTCCCATACGGGCCAGCGCTGTTCTGTTTCCGTGAGTTTCTTGGATGTATATGCACAGGGTTGCAATACTGCATCATCATTTTCTTGTAATAGCACAGCCCCCACTGCCACATCACTTTCATCTGCCTGTATTACGAAGGGCTTGTCCATGTCTGGGTGCCTTAGTATTGGTTCGGCAGAAAAAAGTCTCTTTAGTCTCTCAAACGCTGCTTGGCACTCCATTGTCCATGTTAGTGGCTGGCTATGTTTTACTGAGGATGTTCCCTTCGTTTTTAGTAAGTTGGTGAGGGGCAAGGCTATCTGTGCAAATGAGGGGATGAATTGGCGGTAAAAATTTGCAAAGCCCAGGAAACTTTGTAGTTGCTTTCTTGTGCGGGGTGGTGCCCATTCTAATACTGCTCTGACCTTCTCTGGGTCCATTTCAATGCCCTGTGGGGTTATGCGATAGCCTAGGTAGTCTATCCTTTCCTGGTGGAATTCGCATTTTGAGAGTTTGGCATATAGGTGAGCGGCTCGCAGCTTCTTTAAAACCGCTCTGACAAGTTTGACGTGTTCTTCTTTTGTTTCAGTACAAAATATTAAAAGTATAAGTACCGACTGGGTGAGATCTGGCTTAAAAACAGTAATTGAGAGGGACCTTGGAGTCCTAGTAAATGATCACTTGACTATGAGCCAGTAGTATGCAGCAGCAGCCTAAAAAGCTAATACAATCCTGGATTGTATAAACAGAGGCATAGAATCAAGATCATGCAAAGTATTAGTACTACTTTATAAACCCTAGTAAGACCACACTAGAATATTGCAGCCAATTTTGGTCACCATATTATAAAAAAGATGTTGAGAGTTTGGAAAAAAATTAGAGAAGAGCAACTAAGATGATCCAAAGCTGGAGACTAAAACATATGAAGAACAGCTGCAGGATTTGGATTTGGCTAGTCTAAAGAAAAATAAATAAATAAGGGAGACATAATAGCAGTATTCCAGTATTTTAGGGGCTGCCACAAAGAAGAAGGGGCCACATTATTCTCCAAAGCACCAGAGGGCAGACAAGAAACGATAGTTGGAAACTGACCAAAGAGAGAAGCAACATGAAATTAAGGAGAAATTTCCTGACAGGGAGGACAATTAACCAGTAGAACAACTTGCCTCCAGAAATCGTGGGTGCTCCATACTGGAGATTTTTAAGAAGAGACTAGACTAGTGATGGCAAATCTTTTAGAGACCGAGTGCCCAAACTGCAACCCAAAACCCACTTATGTATCGCCGGATGCCGGGTGGGCATGGCCTACTGGGTGGGCATAGCTACAGTGGGCATGGCCAGCTCGATTTTGCTCCTGGAGAACGATGCCTATGGAGGCTGTGCAGGAGAGAGGGGGAGATCCAGAGGTCTCTGGTGGGTGGGGCAGTGGGCAGGAGGGCGTGTTGCTCAACTGATAGCTGGGGAAGGGGAAAAACGCTGCCTTTTCACAAAAGCAGGATGAAAACTCTCCCCCACTCCCCCGCACTCATCCCGGGACAGCTGCCAACATCCGGCGCTCTCCAGTCCGTTGATAACTAGCCAGGCATGCCGAGCTCGGGCCTCGGGCAGATGGAGGCCACAGGGGAGCGAGAGCTGTGGCTGCCTGGCTCCTCTGCCTGAGAACCCATACAGGGAGAGACACCTCCTGGCTCAATACACCACAGTCTGCCCACAGAAGGAGATGGAGGATGGAGGAAGAGGGCTGGCTGGTGCCAGGCTGGTGCCGGGTGCAGCGCTGCCCACGGGGGAATCTGACCAGCCCCAGCCTGGAGGAGGGAGAGGCCAAAGGAGCCCAAAGGGAAGCAGGCATGATGTTCAGTCATAGCCGCTTTCCACCCTCCCCCGTGCTCCCACAGAAGGCCTGGCTGGCTTCAGTGTCACCTGGACAGGCCTGGTCGTGCATCTGCCCAGTGGCACTGGTGGGCCTGGCCTTCCTTCCTTCCTTCCTTCCTTCCTTCCTTCCTTCCTTCCTTCCTTCCTTCCTTCCTTCCTTCCATCCTTCCTTCCTTCCTTCCTTCTTTCCTTCCTTCTCCCCCTCCTTCCTTTCTCTCTCTCTCTCTCTCTCTCTCTCTCTCTCTCCTTTTCTCCAAACTCCTATCCTCCTTTCCCCACTAGCCTTCTGCAAAGTGCAAACAGATGCCGCGTCCTACTTGTCTTCTCCAAACTCACGTCTACTATCACTTCCAAAGGCTGTCTGCTCGTTCACTCGTTCTCTCGCTGCACTCCCGCCAAAATCTGTTCTTTTTATTCTGGTTTCCCTCTCCTTGTCCAACTGTTCCCGCAAGAGCACTGCTGAATTCGATTTCCTTGTCCTCTCCAGTTCCCACTAGTCAGGGGCACATGGAGAGGGGGAGGGGAGTATCCCTCTGGCGCGCGTGCCGACAAAAAGAGCTCTGCGTGCCACGTTTGGCACATGTGCCATAGGTTCGCCACCACAGGACTAGACAGTCACCTGTCTGAAATGGTATAAGTTCTCCTGCTTTAGGAGGGGGCTGGACTAGAAAACCCAAGGTCCCTTCCACCTTTAATCTATTCTAAAGCTAAGAAATATTTGAAATGTAATGCATTTCATTGTTTTGCTATAAACACTACATACTTATGTATTTATTTTATTCATCACATTTTGGAACTATCCATCTTTCTCACAGAGGGAATCTGGGCAGTGTACAATAAAATAATAAAGCATGAAAAGAGTGCATAAAAATTAAAATTTCAAAACAGGCAAGAATCATTAAAATGACTTAAAAATCAATTGAAAAGCGAAAGGAGGGCTTTCAGGGCACTAACCATTCCTATGGCTGCATGCTCCTCTGTATTCCTTAAGCAAGGCTACAGAGCCATGTTTTGGAAGGCTAGGAGAGTTGAGGTTTGTCTTGCATCCAAGGGAAGAAACAATCCACAGGGTGGGGGCAACATCAGAAAAGGATCTCTTCCTAGATCCCACTTGTCAGAGTCCTTTATCTGTCAGGGTCTGCAACATATTTTCCCTGCGTGACCAGGTGGGTTAGGTTGATGTAATGGGATGAAGTTCACAGAGCAAAGGTGTTACATGTGCCATTTTTTGGGGTGCCCCAAATTGCCCACATAGTCACATTCTGTACCAGCTGAAGTTTCTGAATGCTTTTCAAGGGTAGCCCCATGTAGAGCTCATTCCAATAGTCTAAATGGGAGATGACTACCATATAAATGACCAAATAGAAGGCCTCCCTATTCAGGAAAGAATGTAACCATCACACAGTATCAAGGTAAGCAAAGGACCTCCTAGCCATGGCTTCCACCTGCTCTTTATGAGCCCAAGAGTACCTCAGATTATGCTTCAACTCTGTCTGGGAGAGTACAAGCCCATCTAAGACCAAAGATGAAAAACTTCTGGGTACAGAAGGGTTCACCCATAGCCACTTCATTTTACCAGGATTCAACTGAAGTCTATTGTTCCCATCCAGGCCCGCACAGCTTCTGACAATGCAAAATAACATCCATAGCATCCCTCACTTCACTTGGAATGAAAATATATAACTGGGCTTCATTAGCATATTGGTGATACCTCAACCTATGGTCACAATTGATTTCTTCCAGTAGTTTCATGTAGATGTTAAAAAGGAATGGGGAAATACCAAGTCCTGTGTCACCCCACAAAGCAGGTGTCTGAACTGGACCACCTGTTGCCTATCAATAGTGATTGAGACTGGTCTTAAAGAAGGAGGTGAGGCAGCACAAAACTTCCAACTTCCTAAGTTAGCCAAAAAGGATAACATGGCTGATAATATCAAAAGGCAGAAAGGTCAAGAAGAGAAAGGATGAGTGTACTACTTCCATCCTGCTTCCACCAGTTGTTTTCTAGATTGGCTTTACTGTAAATACACCTGATACAATGAGCGGTGTTATCAGATCCTCTTCATCATAGTCTTGTATTTCTTTCTTAATCTAATTTTTAACTAATTTGTTTAATATGGGTAATCCTTGACTTATAACTGGTTGCTTAGTGACCGTTTAAAGTTACAGTGGACCTCCAGAAAGGTATTTAAAACCTGGTTTCAAAATTCTGACACTGCTCTGCCCTCCCCAAGTCATGTGACTGTATTTTGAACACTTGACATCCAGCCCACATTTTGAGCCATTTGCAGTGCCTATAGTTATTTGATTATAATATGCAATAGTTATGCTGGAAACCAGCACTTACTTCCAGTTTATATTAAGAACTGACCCATAGCGAACAATAGCTTCATTTAACGTCCACATTTGTTTAATGACCACCAAAAAAAGTCATAAAATCAAATCTGGTCACATGATAATCTGCTTTACAACCCTGACAATTTAAAACTGTAATTGCCAGGCTTACTTACAGTTTTAATTCAAGGAGTGCTCATACCATAGAATATATAGAATATATATGAATGGCTTATCTTTTTAATTAGTGCAATGAAATCTCTTCACTAGGCCACAGGGCATGGCTGAGGAAAATTCTAATCTTTTCAAGCAAAATTGACATTGTTCCAGATTTAAGAATTTAATCTTATACCGAATTCTTTATATAATGTCTGCATATATCACTTGATCTAATAGAGCTTCATTAATGTTATCAATAAAATTTTCAATATTATTTTTGGGTTTTCACCCACACACCTGATTAAGTATTTTCCCATGTAACAGCCTGTGGAGTCCTAGGGTTACAGTGTCATTCAGAACTGCATGATTGCTATTGCTAAGCAATGTGGTCACATGACCTTAGGTTTTATGACTAAGAATTACTTAATAATGGAAATTCTGGTCCCAATTGCCATTATAACCCAAGTGGTATCTGTAATAACAACACTGAAGTTTTTAAACCTTTGATTTCATGAAAGAAAGGTAGAAAGATAATCTTTTGATAAATAATATTCTGATTTTTGTATATTTCAGGTCAGTAGCTGAAGCCACTGAAGTAGATCTCAATATGAGAGTTGGTTTGCACACTGGAAGAGTTCTTTGTGGAGTTCTGGGTCTTCGTAAATGGCAGTATGATGTTTGGTCAAATGATGTAACTCTTGCTAATGTAATGGAAGCTGGAGGATTGCCTGGGTAAGTCTCAATATGCTTGCCAGTTACTTATTTATGAAGCACAAATAGTATACTGGTGCCACTGATATAAAAAAATACAGTGAAATGCTAGGCATTTCCCTGTATTTTCAGAGCATTATGATACTTTAATGTGTATTACTTTTGTGTCAGGGTCAAGTCAGATAATATGGGTTCTCTAAGGTCCATGGTGTTGTCTGAATTGGTTGTTGTTGTTTTTTTTGCATCAAGGACTCCACAGTTCAATCCTGAACTACAAGTAGTCTTTTCTAACAATTTATGGGTTTGCTCAATTAGCATTTACTTTTTATTCTAGGGCACCTTCTCACTTTTAAAATTATAGACCCCCCCCCAGTTTTTCTTTATATGAAACAATTTATTGTTTATCAATATTTATTGCATTAAAAATAAAACTGATGCACGTAGAATGTTTATTCAATCATTAAAAGATAACATTAGGTATTAGATGTTAACATAAATATTTTTCATGAAAAATATATATTTTAACAACAACAATAAAAATCTATGATTTCTATTAAGTGACATTGTTTTAAATTTTGCAAATAACTCATCAATAAAACTCTGAGAGGGTCTTGGGGTGACCCAGGGTTCCTTGGACCAAATTTAAGCAACACTGGTTTAGATGAATAAGTGAATTAGTCAAACAGATTTATAAATCACAGTTTATTCCCTGACATGTAAAGTAGGCCACTGAGGTCTACATACACACTCAAATACACACAAATATACATAGACACCATGAGAAGACTAAACTATAGCTTGATGCAGTGTGTGAAAGACTTTTGACTACATCTTAAAGGTTTATTGACAGTTGAAAAGTGACATGAGTAATAGGACAGCTAGGCCTTTGCATTCCATCAAAATCATCTCCCTCCATTTAAAAGAAAAAAAAAGAGCTTGCAATGGCAAATGTTTTCATTTGATATCCCTACGTTAACTTCTAATAGATTAGACCAGTGGTTCTCAACCTGTGGGTTGGGACCCCATTTGGGATTGAACGACCATTTCATGGGGGTCGCCAAATAACGCAGTCCGCCATTTTTTCCCCCTTTTCCTTAGCTGTGCTACTCCCTTTTATTCTATTGGCTTTTGAAAGCCAATAGAATAGACTCTCTTCAATAGAGTCTAATTCTATTGGCTTTCAAAAGCCAATAGGAATTGTCCAGGCTGTCTCTGCCCTGCTGAGCCCGCCAAAAGTCCCATTCTGCAAACGGTGCTGCAAGTTGTCTGCAGCGAAGGTGAGCTGTCTGGAAGTTTCCACCCCTCCCTGCTGAGCAACTACTAAAAATGTAAGTAAAAGAGGGCCAGGGGTGGGAGGTGGGAGGCCGGCAGGTGCAGGGAGGGTTGCTGGTGCGCATTAGGCCTGGCGGGTGCCTTACCTCCCTTGGGTTGGGCCAGCTGGTGTCCCAGCCGATGGTCGGCCTGCGCCGTCTCTGCCGCTTGCCAGTTATGCCTCAGCTGGCGCAGGGGGCAGCACCACGCATGCGTAGCACTCCCGGGCAGGGAAAGTCCTCGACTTACGACCGGATGGGTAGTCCTCGACTTACAACCAGTTGGGGGTCGCGGCATTAAAAAGGTTGAGAACCACTGGATTAGACAGATAATGATAAATAGATAATGATAGGTGTGTGTGTGTGTGTGTACAAACACACACACACACGCACACAAACATATAATTAGAGAAAGATACATGCATAGATATATATAGTTTTTTCTCTTAGTATAAAATACAAATTGAAAGGAACAGGGGACAAACTGAGGAAAGGGGAAAAGAAATAAAAAAGAAAAAATAACATTGACTTCCAACTTTTTATAGAACAGTAGGATACATAGAAAGTGATAATATCAGTTTTTTAGTTATGCCAAATAACAGCCATTGGTTATTCTATAACAAGAACCCACTTGCCTTCATACATAACCCATTTGGATTGTCAAAATCCAAAATCAAAGTTTCATATTTTCTTTCATGCATAAAGTCCAGAAGTTTATAGCAGAGGGTTCCATTTTTTTTCCAATTCTTTATCTAATAGTCATAAAATAAAAGTTTCCAGTTTCCATTGTAAATCCATTTTTTAAATTAAACTATGGATCTCTACACAATATTTCTTTGCCTTGCCACATGTCCATGACATATGGTAAAGGTACCCTCCTTACATTTTCATTTCCAACAAATAGTTGAAATGCCCTTATACATCTTTAATAATTTATTTGGTGTCAAATCCATCAGTACATCATTTTGTAGAACTTCTCTCCAAGATTATAGCTCAATGTGAATTTCAGTCCTTTAGTCCAAAGTTCCCCAACCTTTCTGGCTTTGCAGACTTGCAGGGGTGGGGGGAGAAGGGATGGTTCCATGCAGGTGGCCAGCATTTGTGCGCAGCTCCATTTGCATGAATGGTGTGCACACATGCCCACCACTCCCACAAATGGAGTGTGTGTGCACGAACTTGCCCACTACTAGCACAAGTGAGATTGTACATGTGCTCTCTCGCATACCATTTTCACAGCCCAGTTGTAAACAGCTCATAGCCCACTGTTTGAGGACCCCTGCTTTAGTCCACATATTTTTCCATTGGCCTAATATTATATTATAATATATGACTTCTAACAAATCATACAGTGTTTAAGACATATTCACTTTCTAGGTTTAATTGTAACAGCATTTTAGAAACTTTGCTGTAAGAAGTTCATCATTGATACAGAATATCATTTTTAGCAACTTCAAAATCACATTATATTAAATTTTATTCTTTTTATTAGTTTATAATATAAAATACAAAAATACAAAAGCAAATAATAGGAAAAATAGGGGAGGAAATAGGGAAAAGTGTAGAAAAGCAGGGAAAAATTAAAGGCATTGACTCTCTTTTGTGCAGTAGAATAAGGTAGTAACATCAAATCTCAACTTTTTACTTTTACCTAATAGTATAAACTAGCCATTTCTATAACAACAGTTCTATCTAATCAGTAAAACACAAAATCAAAGTTTCATTTTTTTTCTACCTCAAGCACCAAGTCCAGAAGTGGTTTTCACGTAGAAACAAAAATAATTATGTTTTTTTCTTTATAGAGTAGTCAATTTAGCCATCTCTACAAACTCCTTCAGCTTTTGCAACCATTCATCCATTGTGGGGATTGAAGTGTCCTTCCATTTTTATGCATAAAGTAACATCAAAGTTCCATAATTTTTTTCCAAGTCTTTTTCCATTAAACTCCAAAGAAAAGTTTCTGGTTTTATCTTTATATTCACTTTAAATATCTTATGTATTAGAATATGAATCTTACTCTAATATTTCTTTGCTTTATTACATCTCCACCATAAATGATAGAAAGTGTCTTCTTTATGTTTGCATTTCCAGCATTCATTTGAAATACCTTTATACATTCTTGATAAGTTAAATGATTCATCATCTTATAAAAATTTTCTTTTAAATTGTAATTTAATGTACATTAAATTAACTGCAGGCTTTTGCTGACAGCTGGCTGACTGCAGTTTGGCAGTTTGATTCTCACTGGCTCAAGGTTGACTCAGCCTTCCATCCTTCCGAGGTCGGTAAAATGAGGATCCAGATTGTTGGGAGCAATATGCTGATTCTAAACCACTTAGAGAGAGCGGTAAAGCACTGTTAAGTATAAGTCTTAACTGCTATTGCTATATTCTTCCATTATTCAAGCTTCACATTATATCCAGTGTTCCTTTCCACTGAATCGTACAGTGCTTTACATATTCACTTTCCAAATTCAAATTCAATAACATTTTATAAACTTCAGCAATAATATGTTCATTACTACCACACAATAGGATTACTAATTCATTTTTAACAATGTCAAACCCATAACTCTTTTTAATTTTTTCTTTCATTTGTAAGTATGTAAACCAGTGGGCATGTAAATCACCGGGACAAGTTCTGAAGGAGCTGGCAGATGTTATCTCAGAAGCTTTGTATCATATCTTTAAAAATTCTTGGAGCAATAGGGAATTACCAGAGGATTGAAAAACAGCTGATATGGTTCAATTCTTCAAAAAAGGAAAAAAACTAGATCCAGGAAACTACAGACCAATCAACCTAACATCAATACCTGGGAAGATACTGGAAAAAATAATCAAAAAATAGATCTAGAACATCTAGAAACAAATAAAGTTATAACTAGAAGCCAACATGGGTTTGTTAAAAATAGATCATGCCAAACAAATCTTATTTCATTCTTTGACAAATTGACTAAATTAGTAGAACAGCGAAACGTTATGGACATAGGCTAGCATATTTAGACTTCAGCAAGGCATTTGACAAAGTAGACCATAATCTACTTCTCGGTAAGCTAGAAAAATGTGGGATAGACAGCATCGCCACCAGATGGATTTGTAACTGGCTGACAAACCATACTCATTGATAATCCTTGGTTGTATAAACAGAGGCACAGAATAAAATCGTGAAGTATTAGTACTACTTTATAAAGCCTTAGTAAGATCACACCTGGAATACTGCATCCAGTTTTGGTCACCACATTACACGAAAGATGTTGAGACTTTTGACAAATTATAAAGAAGAGTGCTAAGATGATTAAAGGCTGGAAGACTAAAACATATGAAGAATGGTTGCAAGATTTCAGTTTGGCTAATCTAGGGAAAAGAAGAAATAGGGGTGACATGATAGCAGTATTCCAGTATTTGAGAGGCTGCCACAAAGAGGAGGGGGTCAAATTGTTTTCCAAAGCACCAGGGGGTAGGACAAAAAGCAATGGATGGAAGCAAGGAGAGAAGTAACCTGGAATTAAGGAGAAACTTCTTAACAGCGACAATTAACCAATGGAACAGCTTGCCTTCAGATGTGGGTGCTTCATCACTGAGGTTTTTAAGAAGAGACTGGACAGTCACTTGTCTGAAATGGTATAGGATCTCCTGCTTGAGCAGGGGACTGGACTAGAAAACCTTGAAGGTCCCTTCCAGCACTATTCTGATTCTGATTCAGTGGCAAACATTT